AGCATGACCGCGTGTGCCCGCGCGCGCGATCCGTTTCTAAGTTTCTAAAGTCTCACATTAAATTCTCAGGACTCCCTTCCTTCGCTGTACACCCCCCCGCCCCCGCAGGTGATCAAAACTCGAAGACGGGGAACCTGAAAATTAAAGTGACTTTCGAACTCTCTCCAATGCAAAAGATGGGGGATCAGTAAGAATTAATAAAAGTGTCCCCCCACCCAAACAAAAAGGGGGCGGGGGAAGCGAACAAAAAGGCCGGTGGCTGAGCCGGATGCAGGCAGCTGGCCCTAAGCCCTGCCCGCTGGCTCTGTGCGCGAGCTGGGGTTCGGTATCCCAGCCTCCTGAAGAGTGGGAGGAGCTGGGCCTGTGTCAGGCTCCCTAAGCCGTTCCTTTCAAGCCCTGAATGCCTGAATGTGAGCTGCCCACCGCCCTCCCCCCACTCTGCAACCCCACTCCAGCGGCTCGTAAAAAAAAAAAAAAAAAGTTTCAACAACAACAGGCTGGACCAATAGCAGAGCGTAAAGGCGGAGAAGGGGGCCGAGCAAAGGGCGCTGGAGAGTGGAGAAAGGAGAAAGCGGGCAAGCCTGGAGCGCGCGGGGCCGGGGCTCGGCGAGCCGGAGGAGCGTTGCTAATGTTTTTGTTTGTTTGCTTTTCTATGCATGCATAATGAGGGGGCGCCGCGGCACCACACGGGGGCTCCCGGCCCACTTTTGTATTTAAAGCCTCGCCGCGAGTGAGTCCGCAGCCGGGCTCCGCGGATCCGCTCCCCAGGCTCCGGGTCTCCGAGTCTGCGAGCAGAGCCGCACGCTCCGAGTTTGGGGTCTTCCCTGCGCCTGGCGCCCAGAACTTCCCGGAGAGCGGCCCAGGCCCGGGCAGAGGGGGAGGGGACCGAGCGTCCTAGCCGCGGGAAGGCGGGATGCCAGAGCTGCGAAGTGCAACGCGCCGCTGAGCCGGGGACCGAGGAGTCGCCGGCCGCACGAGCCTCTGCGGGCGCCCAGCGCCATGCACCCCCGGCGCCGAGCGCTCTTGCAGCCTCGCCGCGTCCCTCCGGGGCGGCACTGAGCGTCTCCAGTGGCCGACCGGAACCGGACCTGCATCGCCGCGCCTCTCTGGGAGCCCCGGCCGCGGTGCCGGAGCGAACACCCGCCTCCACCAGCCGCGGGGCCGCCGGCATGGATGGATGAGGACGCCCATGCCAGAAGTGCGCGGAACTCGGATGAACTTTTCCAGCGGCCCCGCCGCCGCCCGCGCCTCGACTCCGCTCCGCACCGCGTCCGGCGGCCGCTGCTGCCCGCGATGCTAGCCGCGCTGCTGGGCGGCGGCGGGGCCCGCACGGGGACCTTGCCGGGGGCCTTGCTGTGCCTGATGGCGCTGCTGCAGCTGCTGGGCTCGGCGCCGCGGGGCTCGGGGCTAGCGCACGGCCGCCGCCTCATCTGCTGGCAGGCGCTGCTGCAGTGTCAGGGCGAGCCCGACTGCAGCTACGCCTACAGCCAGTACGCCGAGGCGTGTGCGCCCGTGCTGGCGCAGCGCGGCGGGGCTGACGCTCCGGGGCCCGCCGGCGCCTTCCCCGCCTCGGCCGCGTCCTTCTCGCCGCGCTGGCGCTGCCCGAGCCACTGCATCTCGGCGCTCATCCAGCTCAACCACACGCGCCGCGGGCCCGCGCTGGAGGACTGCGACTGCGCGCAGGACGAACACTGCAGATCCACCAAGCGCGCCATCGAGCCCTGTCTGCCGCGCACCAGCGGCGTGGGCCCGGGCGCCGGAGCGGGCTCGGTCATGGGCTGCACCGAGGCCCGGCGGCGCTGCGACCGCGACAGCCGCTGCAATCTGGCCCTCGGCCGCTACCTGGCCTACTGCGGCAAGCTCTTCAACGGGCTGCGCTGCACGGACGAGTGCCGCGCGGTCATCGAGGACATGCTGGCCGTGCCCAAGGCGGCGCTGCTCAATGACTGCGTGTGCGACGGGCTGGAGCGGCCCATCTGCGAGTCGGTCAAGGAGAACATGGCCCGCCTGTGCTTCGGCCCAGACGCGGGCAACGGTCCGGGCAGCAGCGGCTCGGACGGAGGCCTGGACGATTACTACGACGAAGAATACGACGACGAGCAGCGCGCCGGGGCGGCGGGCGGCGAGCAGCCCCTGGACGACGACGACGGCCTGGCGCGCCCGGGCGGCGGCGCTGCTGCGGCGGATGGCCGCGGGGACCTGCCGCACGGGCCCGGCCGCAGGAGCAGCAGCAGCGGCAGTGCAGGCCACTGGGCGGCCCGAGGCACCTGGACCCCGTTTGCCTGTTTGCTGCTGCTGCTGCTGCTGCTGCTGCTCGGGTCACACTTGTAGCCCCTGCGCCCCTGCCGCTCAAGGCTGGCGCGCGCGATTCGGCTGGTTCCCAAGCCGGGCACCTGTGGCTGGGAGGACGGAGGTGGTACAGAACACTGACCCGCTCTCTCCCTGGGTGGACAGGGCCCAGGCCGTACCGCAGCCATCAAGTTCGGCCTTCTCTGTGCGGTTTCCAGGCTGCAGAGATAACTGGCTGATCGTATGATACCGCTGGCTCGAATCTACAGAATTTAGGACACCCTGCAAAAAGCAACGGAGGCCTGGACTCGGTTGGAGTGCCGAACGGTGGGGGTCTCTACAGCTCCGAGGGGCTGGGGGAGGGGATGGTGAGGGAATTAGGTTTGCCGCAGGGCCAGGTTTCTGTTTTGTATTTAAACAGTTTTTCTGTGAGGGGACACACAGTACTGGTAACGACTTTAATTGCTTGTGGCCACTGAGAGACACAGCAATCGTAAATAAGTAGAAAAGTTCTCCCTAGCGATTTTTTCCAGTGCAGAATAGCACCCGATAACGCCCGGTGTAGAGCCGCGATTGCCTTGTTGGGGACCCTTGAAATTACGTCTGCATTATAACCTTAACCCCTCACCTTTAATCTCACTGCCACCATTCTGATCCCTCAGCACCACGTGTCTTAGAATTAAGGGTCCAAAAACGTTGGTCTGAAGAGTTACCATGGTGTTGAACAATACAAGTTTTGATCCTAAAGCTCGGTACTGCCATCTAGGAAAACCTCTGTGATGTTTGTTTTGCTGTCCCCCCCCCCCCCCGCCACTATGAAATTCTAAGTTTGAATATGCAGAGATTGAATATTGCCTCTGCCCCTATCGGGGTCTTTCACCCTGGTACGTCGTATATAAACTGTATTAAAACTGGGGTTTCTTACCAGTTGCTGTACTTTGTATATAGAATTTTTATAAATTGTATGCTTCAGAAAATAATTTATTTTTAAAAAGAAATTAAAAGTTTTAAATCTACATCATTGTTACATCACCCCCATCCAAGAAATGTATAGAATACACTGGTCACCAGGAACCCACGCCTGCAGCCCATTTTGAAGTGTGCCCTGTGTAGAGCAGTCTTAAAAATGTACAGTGTATTTTACAGATTTGAAGTAACGTTCTTATTTTCAAAAGAATTTATGGACATTGTAGAAATGTATAAATGCATTTCCAACTGCCTTAAACATTGTATTTTTATAGACATCATTTTTAAAAATCCCGTGTTTAAAAAAAAAAACCATGACTTTGTGTATTTTTTTTGATTGTTTTATTAAAAATGCACACATCAGTGAAGAGTTTAAACCGTGGCTACAGTGCAGTTGCTTTCCGCAGTTAACACTGCGGTTAGATGGGGTGGGAGGGGTGTGGAGGGGTCACGGGGAGTCCATCAGACATCAAGCGAAATTAAAATACCGTGTAAGAAAGAACGTAAGCTAATGCTGCCTTTAATTTAAGGGACAATTAGAAGTCTGTAAATGAGGCAGCTAAAACAGTTTGTAACTGGCCTCTGCTGCTGTTGCCATTTGTGAAGAAAATTCACAAAGTAGCGTCTCTCATCGGAGGATACCCTCCCCCTCCCCCGGTGCCCCACCCTGTGCCACCACCCTCCTTTTTCTCCTGACCCCCAGGAATGTCCCCTCTCATTCAATCAAACATGCCAATAACATCTGTTACCAATAGGTCTCGGGAACCTCTGAGACTCAATACTTCAAAGCCATTTTCACACTTTTGGTGGAAAAAAAAATACAAAATTTTGTTACAAAACATTGAGGCGTGCAAAAGTAAACACACCATGGAGGGGAATAATTACCAGGACTGGTAATATTGTCCCGAGGAGCTGTTGAACAGTGGGTTGAAGGCTGGGCTTCGGCCAAGCTCCTGATGCACACTCAAACGCCCTTACATAAATAATTACACTCTTAAGCTGTGTCGAGTGCTGATACACTTGACCTTGTAAATAGAAATGTTTGCAGTAGGAATAAACTCCGGCATTGGAAAATCTTTTAAACATTAACACAAAAGAGAGCACTCTGTCCTCTGGGGATTTGAGCCTGAACCTCAGCGAGCTAGGCACTTGCAAGGGGGAAAAAGTTTATTTATCTTCTATTCCTGGTGTTTATTTAAAGCTTTTCATTTTAAACTCGGTGATTGGAAGGCAAGTCAGGAGTTTAAAAGTCACCACAAATAAACTTTGTCTGAGGGGTCGACAGATTAGCAAGATCTGGAGTCTCTTTATTTGATATTAGCATGTGCTGAGAAAACAACTAGATTTCTCTGCTGCCTAAAGTAATTAACCAAATTGTGCCCTTTCCCACTTGCTCCCACCTATTCCCACCCCTACTTTTGAGCCTTTTTTTGCCTTTCTCTTTCTTCAGCTATTAGGGAGGGATTCAAGTTCCTCTTTGTGTCTCTAAAACCAAGATTCCCCTCCCAACACACACACACACACACACACACACACACACACACACACACACACGCCATGTATGGTATCAGAAAGCCCTAGATAGCTGTGTATCAGCCTGAGGCCCAGGAGAGTGAGGTGCAGTTGGATCTCTGTCACCTGAGTGGTTCAGCAAATGTAATTTTAAAACAAAGCCTAGAGCAGTATTTCTTGGGGACCTGACAAAAAATATTTCTAGAGGTTAATAAGGGAAATCAGCTTTTTTTTTTAAACAAAACAAAACAAAAAGACTACAGGTTAGTAGTACTTACTCCTGTGTTTTTGCTTAAATGCATTTAAATTTCTATCCCTGTTATTTTAACACATTCTCCATTAACACATTTCTGTCTTTGTCACAGTAAAAGGCCCAGTTCCCCCACACACCCATAATAAGTTAAAAGACAGCACCAGAAAAGGCCTGACAATTAACTGCTACAATAAACTCATGACTTGATTTTACAGGAGCCTGTCAGAAGCATCTGCCTAGAATAAATCACAGCACACCCTGGGCCAGAAGGGACCAGGCTTTATGCCTTCTCCCTTGAAGAAAGTGAACGTTGATCCAAGGCCCAATCATTTAAATAAGGAGGCTCTCTAGCCTGGAGTCCCCCTGCCTCTGGACAGATCTAGTGGATCTCAGTTCAGATTGCAGAGATCCAGCTAGGGCAGCGGGCTTCAAGAGGGTGATATCTGTATACCACCCAACAGCCATCTGCTTCGAGACAGAAAAGACTTTTACAGATGTTGACATCTGCAATATCTCGAAGTCCCCAGGGAGGCCTTTGGAATTCTCGACATTTGGCAGGCTCAGATGTCTCCTGGAGTTGCCTGGAAGTGCCATTAATGAGAGAAAAGGGTAGTTTTCGGCTTTTCTGGAGAATTTCCAGGAAGTCCCCTGCCCCCACCCCATGAGAGGCAGGGTTTGGATTTCATGTCTAATCTGTCCTCCAGGCTGTTCCCATCTCCCCAGTTGGTAGCTTGTGATTCTCTGTGACGGTTCATTTGTCTTTGGAGGCACTTCAGTGACAAATGTTTGAGGGAGTGTGGGACAATGGTCAAGAACAAGGGGGGCAGTTCATTGAACTGAAGTGACCATACAGTAAATAGAAAGAGGTTCAGCTTCACTGGTCACCCGAGCACACAGCAAGGCTTTTGTATATGATCACAATGGACATAGCATAAGGTCTCTGTTGATTTTTAACAATATATAGCAATGTACACGCGCAAGCCCCGTATGTAAAGTGGGAAAATAGCCCTAGGGAAGTGAACTTGTCTACTCAGAGGACACCCCTGTACTTGAGTCAAATTCCTACAGTCACCCATAAGGATGGTAGCAGCTCCTGGCCCCAAGTATCATGTGGTAAAGGGGCCACTGGGCTCAAGCAGATCACAGATGGCCAGTGGAGTCCACAGGACACAGAGCCGCATCCCTCTGTAGCCTGGAGAATACGACAGAGTGGCAGAAAGCAAGAGAGACCACAAGGCATGGAGTGGGGAGGGTGTGTCCTTTCCTCTCATGCTCATGCCTCTACCTCATCCCAGCAACATTACACAGGATCCCAAATCAGGGGAGCTTTCAGAAACACTCAGCAAGTCCGCAGCTTTCCAGCTTGGGCTTTGCTGAGAGCGCACTGTGAGGACTCCAGAGCACACAGTCCCTGTTTCTTTTTCCAAAGCACAGAAGGGAAAAGTATGCCATCATTGTTTTTTGACCCCTCACACCAAGAAACCTGGGGAGTGTCGTCAGTCGGCCTGGTTTTCTCCCAGTTACTCCAAGGAGGATGGTGGGAGAGCATCAGGTTACACAAGCAGTGTGGCCTGGGTTGAGTTCGCAGTGGGGCTCACTGTGTGCCAGTTAAGTTGGACATCACTATATTCTGTTTGAAAGATTGCTTCTGGAAGAGAGTTGACAAAGTTCACCCTTGACTATCCCGATGACATAAGTAATGTGCTGTTAGCATCAATACCCCCTAAGGCATCCGTTTAATCAATTTTGTAAATAACACAATGATCTACTACAAAATAGTGGACTGTATACACTATATTTTGGCACAAAGATGGTCATTCTCCCACTAGTAACCAGGGGCTCTAAATAAATGATTTCAACAATGTTTTATTAAAGGCGACAAGAGCCCTCGAGCTGCATTAATCGGGAGAAGTCGAGTGGCACCTTTGTTATGGAAATGCTGAGCACATAATGGCAGGGCCAGACAATGTGCGGCCACTTCATTCTTTCAGCCGTGCTGACACCTCTTAAAGAGGAACTGCAGGGAAGGATGTGGGAAAGATCTGCTTTCCGAGGAAGCTCTCAGCTCATATTTTGGAGCGCTACCTCCAAACCCTGTGTAAAATGCACTGAGGGAAGCCAGAGGGCTGCTGGAAACAAAAAGGGGTTTCTACACCTTATTTCAGCAGCCTGAGCTCCCTACATAGAACTACATATCTATCTTTCTTTCTTTCTTTCTTTCTTTCTTTCTTTCTTTCTTTCTTTCTTTCTTTCTTTCTTTCTTTCTTTTTTTGACACAGCATTTCCAAAAGACTGTTTCACCGATTGTTGTTGAGTTCAGTTTTTAAAATGGATCAAAGACTCTATCGTGTTGGTATTTGTCATGCATAGCTTGGGCAGAGTCTCTTTTTGAAGGGATCTGAAGTCTGCCAACAGGTAAATATGCACAATTACATCAACAACATCTTCATCTGTGACCAAAGATGAAATAGTAGTATCTGAATCCAGACCCCACACTGTGGACACACTGTGATCTTTTGTTATCAATACATGTCTTTACTAAGGTGCCTAAAGTGTGTAAGATCTTGGATACTGGTTCCTGAATACTGGAGAGGGCAACATTCCACAAGTAATTCTTCCTGTATACTTTATCCCTGATCAGACACTACTAAGGACCATGTCCATGACCTTGAAATGGGACCCTTTCTTAGTTGTAATTCTTTTACTACATTGCTGCTCCTCATCTTCAGTTTTAGCCCATCACTGCATGTTCATCAAAGAGTTCCACCTATTTGGAGCATTTTTCTGCAAGAAGATTTAAAAATAGCTTTTCTGGCTGAGCATGGTGGCTCACACCTTTCGTCTCAGCACTAGAAGGTGGCAGAGATGGGTGGATCTCTGTGAGTTCAAGTCCAGCCTGGGTTACATAGTGAATTACAGGACAGCCAGAGCTATATAATAGAGACTCTGTCAGAGAGAAAGGAAGGAAGGAAGGAAGGAAGGAAGGAAGGAAGGAAGGAAGGAAAGAAAGAAAGAAAGAAAGAAAGAAAGAAAGAAAGAAAGAAAGAA